TGTTTGACAGTCCTGTCACAAGTAGGAGGAGCCGAGTGATGTCATTCATTATATCTCTTGCGGGTTGCCTATACCAGGGAAAAGATATGGATCGAATTTTGTTTTTGGTCGGGGTGCATTGTGTGATTCCTCTGCACTTTGACCCAGGAAACATAGAGGACACTCCCAGGATCCGTGTGTGGGAACAGCCTCTACAGCCTCTAACATCACTGATTATAGCTGATGAATGAATGAATCAGATAAGCAGAAACTAAACTTTAGCGCCAAGCTAAAACGAGATAATAATCTTCAGAAGTAAATAATGGTATAATGGCATGAAAATAAAGGCATTTTAAGGTAAATACCTAAGGTAAATAGCCACATGCCTTTCTTGCTAACATTTAAAGTCACTGGTGACTAAGGTTTTCTTAAGCTGATAAAGAACATTATTAATGGTCCGACTAGTGCATTATCTTCGTCCTCTCAAGCAATATCATATAGGTAGAGTAACATTTAAGTCATATACTATCATCCAAAAGTTTAGGGTCTAATTTCTTTCTTGTGATCATCAAGGCTGCATCAAAAATATAGTTAAAGGGTTAGTTCACCCAAAAATGAAAATTAAGTCATTAATTACTCAGCCCCATGCTGTACCAACCCCGTAAGACCTTCGTTCGTCTTCGGAACACAAATAAAGATATTTTTGATTGAATCTGAGAGCTAGATCAGACCTATATAGACTGCCTAAGGGACTGGCTCTTGACGGCCCATAAAGTCATTAAAGAAAAGGATTAAATATTCCATGTGCCTACAGCGGCTCAATTATAAGTTTATCAAGCGACGAGACTACTTTTTGTGCAAAAAAAAAAACATAAATAACGACTTTATTCCAGTATTCCATTACTTGCACATGGGCGCATGCGCGAGAACTGAGACGAGGACGTTCTCATTCGTTTACTTCTTGTTACCGGCTGCTCACCGCTTAGGAGTTTTACCGCCCCCTACCGTATAAGATGATGTGCTGATATAGCTGGAAGCACAAAACTTTCTGTTTACAAGCAGAGGAAGATGCGCTCTGTACATACGCTTTTCAATTTGCATATTTTCCGCACTATAAGGTGCACTTAAAAGCCTTTAATCTTCTCAAAAAACGACAGTGTTCCTTATAATCCGGAGCGCCTTATATATGGATCATCATTTTATACGATAGGTGGCGGTAAAACTCCTAAGCGGAGCAGCCGGTAACAAGAAGTAGACGAATGAGAACGTCCTCGTCTCAGTTCTCGCGCATGTGCCCATAAGGAAGTAATGGAATAGTGGAATAAAGTCGTTATTTATGTTTTTTTCGCACAAAAAGTAGTCTCGTCGCTTGATAAACTTATAATTGAGCCGCTGTAGGCACATGGAATATTTAAACCTTTTCTTTAATGACTTTATGGGCCGTCAAGAGCCAGTCCCTTAGGCAGTCTATGTAGGACTGATCTAGCTCTCAGATTCAATCAAAAATATCTTAATTTTTTGTTCCGAAGATGAACGAAGGTCTTACGGGGTTGGAACAGCATGGGGGTGAGTAATTAATGACTTAATTTTCATTTTTGGGTGAACTAACCCTTTAAAACAGTAATATTGTGGGATATGAACACAAGTAAAATTGTTGTTATAACCATTAGTAACTGTTGTGCTGCTGCTAAGTATTTAAGGTTTGATTTCTTTCATGGAATCTACCTGAATAAATCATGTAAAATCCCCTAAAATATTTATGTCTATGAAACAATGAATTTAATATTTTTCGTGAAATATGCTTTTTTATTTTAATTTGACTCTTAATATGTTGTGAATTTCGAGTGAGTGGAAATTTCCTATTTATTTAGACTTTAAATTATATTGTATAATTAATAAAACTGTATGCTATTAGCACAGCACAGATACAAACTTGTTGCTGTGTTATCACTTTAGCAAAATTTTTGCTTAAAGGGACATTGTGTAGGAATTTCTCCCATCTAGCTGTGAAGATTTATTTTGCATTCAAACGAATTGTGCTCTCCAGCGCCTTGCTTTTTCAAATGCGTGTTGCATCTACGGTAGCCATGTACCAAAAAGCTATGTCAGGATGTCTTCTAATAGCACTTCATTTTTTTAATGAAAATTACAAGACCCTTGATTCATTTTTTACAGTGATGTGCTACACATTTTTTTAGGGTGCTTCAATGAATAGAAAGTTAAAAAGAACAGCATTTATTACTGTCACAATTGGTCAATTTAATGAATCATTGCTGGATACAATAAATTATTTATTTCAAACGGGGAAAAAAATATCTTACTGACCCCAAACTTTTGAACGGTGTAGTATATTCATTTCATTTGTAAATGTACTTAAATACATTAAAATATGGTGCTTCAGGACATTTTATCTGGCATTTTGTTATTACATTTCTGTCTGTTCTTCACTCAAAGCACTTCAGAAGACTTGGAATATGAATTGTATCGATTATTTCAATTACACTTTTTGGCTCTAACTGAAGCATTGATATGGAGTCCTGCATGGCAGAAAAGAATTATGGGGTCATTTAGAAATTTTACTTTATGTCCTCTTGCATGTACAGCAAGTGCCAAAATCTCTGTGATACTATTACTGGGCAAGACCAATTATATAGAATTGATCTCATTTCTAGTGTTGTAGACCATTAGGCCAATTTTGTGATGATATTTAAAGAAGATCATTCATTTATTCCCTTTACACCGTTCTCTGACGGCCATTTTGCAGATTTAAAGTAGAGAGGGGAATTACCGCCATATATGCTGATTAACTCTATATCTGCTCCATTCATTTTAAGTCAAAGTGTTTTGCTGTTTTTCCCCCGATAGCGGCGGTGGAGTCTGCAGCCCTCTCAGGTGTGATGAATTGGTGGTGTCCTTGGCACAGTTCATTTGCAATCCATTACAGTGCATTAGCTTTGTGTCAGAGAGGAACCCAAACACCATGCATCACTAAAGTGAGGGGATGTGATCAGATACCCCATCTAACACCCACATAACATTAACTTGCAGAGCACGTTTGAATTTTAATTTTGTCTTTTATAAAGTGTGTTGAAATTAGGCCAGAACTGTTTAAAGGAAGTGTGAAATATTCAGGAGAAAAATTGGAAGAAAACTGTAGTGCTCAGATGCTGCTCATTTATAGGTCAAGAAACTTATTGGAGACCTCAATTATTCTTCATCTATCTGCTTTGTCTCAGAGTGGAAAACCCATTAGGAAATGAATGATGCATACAATCAGAGTACGTATACACACAAAATATAGTACAGAAAGAGAAAGAGAGAGTACGTACATTAAAGAATATATATACTTTTTACTTAATTTTCAGGATCATTACTCCAGTCTTCAGTGTCACATGAACCATCGGAAATCCTTCTAAAATGCTCATTTGATACTCAAGAAACATTTCACTGTATGTGTGTGACGAGCAGTGTTGTGCAAGTTACTTCGAAACTGTAATACATTAGGTATTACTTGTTACTTTTATTTAAAAGTAATTCATTACCTTACAATATTACTGTCTCAGAATTGAAATGCGTTACATTACTCATGTATTACTTTTGAGTTACTTTCACCAAAATAACTAAGTAGAACTTAACTTTTGGGCTGTAACGATATGCAATATGAAACCGAAATCGCGATTCGCCACACGACTCAGATCCACAAACCTATAGAATCGCGACACACCTCTTCCAACTTCAGCGTTATTCTCCTTACCGTCCAGAGATCCAATGCTGCCTTATCTTTAAATTAGGCTATTAGTATTATTGGAAGTTAACATTATAAAATACATAGACCTACACAAAACTAGTTGAGGATAAATTATTTAAAATTGGGGAAGTCCAGCATTATGGACATGACATTTGTAGTCAAAACTTGAAATAAAAATTCTCAGAAAATTCATGTATTGAAACGTACAGTATATAGGCTACTTCCTTAAAGGACTCCAGACATTAGACAGATATCAGTCTATGTTTTATTTTTAATATTAGGGAAAAGACACATTCATGCGTGACAAAAAAATAGGAGGCAAAATATATTTTTTGTAATTCTGTTAATTACACTGCGCAAATCAGATGAGGAAGGGTTGGCTCTCCAGTCTCCATATAACTTAAAATATTCATTTTATTTTAGTTTTCGTGTTCGCATTTATGAGGAAAAAACAATGTTACAGACGCGACCGCTCTGAATTGGCACTAAAAGACTGCTTTAAAACTTTCACATAGTCTGTTGCCTTTAAGAAGTAAAAGCAGACAATACACTGTAATACAACTGTAATACAAGCCTCACTGAACATGTAACGAGTAAAATATTACTGAAAATTGATTAGTAATGCCTTACACTACTGCGTTACAGCAAAAAGTAATATGTTACTGTAATGTATTACTTTTGTAATGTGTTACTCCCAACACTGGTGACGAGCAGGACGAGGCTGAGCTTTACTTTCATTTAGGATTTGTTTATTTTATTATTAAAGTGTTGAATGTTCGCCGGTTCCCACCTCCTTCTTCCCATAACATCTGAACCCTGTTACAATGTGTATCTGTACAAGAAGAAATTCTTATACACACAAACCTGGATGTATGGATGGATGGATAGCACAGTGAGACATTAAATCTGACACTACAGAGGAGACATGTGAGGAGTCTTTTACTCAAGAGAGCAATTTAAGAAGCATGATAATCCATTTACTCTCCATTTTCTCTTATTGCCGTTTAATCTCATTGCTGTCATTTCAGAAATTAATGATATCTTTTTTTCCATCCTATGGGTGAGTTTCACCTTGGAGAAGATCATATCTTAGCACATGCTGCTTAGTGTTTGCTTCAGTCTTGATGTATTACAAGCCTCAAGTGTAATGTTTCATATAGGACAACACTCAGACAGCCCATTAAGATGTCCCTAAACATTACCGTGTGTAAAGTCTTGTTCATTTATTCCTGATCTATTTTCGTACCAGGGGTACTCACATTTTTAGCATATATCTTCACGGTTGGCATCGGAGAGGCTCTTGATGTGTAGAGAGGATGAACGGAGATGTTTCCACCTCTGCAGACCTGCGGTTAGCACCTACTGTAGCTGGCGAGGTGTGACAGTCACGCTCCTCAGTCCAGGCCGGAGCAAACGACCAAATCCACCCCCCACCCCCTGCCGCTATGTGCTCAAGGGAAAGAGACGGACGGTGACGCATGAGAACTGTAGAAGAGAAGCAAAAATTAAAGTGTTTTCTAAAGTCACACGAAGTTGCACAGTAAAGTTATTTCACAGCAATGAGATGACAAATTGAGTTCCTTCCCACACACAAAAAAAATCCCAAAAGACAACATTACCTCAATTTGTATTTTAGTTTCATAAGTATACAAAGCAGCAGGGCTCATTAAGTACATTTTATTAGTTGGCTTTCAAAATATGTGCATTGAGCTACATGCTGCATTTCTATGTCCCTCGTGCATCTGAAACCACATGACCATATTAAAGGGATAGTTCACCCAAAAATGAAAACTCTGTTATCATTTACTCGCCCTCATGTCATTATAAAGACATAAGACCTGAGAGGTTTCGCTCCCTCCATTGAAAGTCCAGGTAACCAAAACTTAAAAGTGGCAAAAAGCTTATATATATATTACTGATTGGCTTCATTGTCTCCTCTCCACCAGTAAGCTGAAGTGTGGTGGGTGTTCTGGCACACTATGGCAGCCAGGTGGATGCTGTACATTGGTGGTGGTTGAGGAGATTCCCCACTTCCATGTATAGCGCATTGAGTACCCAGAAAAAGCACCATATGAATGTAACAAGTTATTATTATTAATTATAAAGGCATTGTAAAAACGAATCCATAAATTGAGCGGTTTATTTCTAGTCTTGTGAAACAATATGAGAGTGTGATACATAAAAACCAATGAGGCTTGTTCTTGAGTCACACTCCAATGTCTCCATTCATATGGATTTGTTTTATGACACTTTTTACAAAAATCTTTTAAGTTTTGATTAACTGATCTGTCAATGTGGAACAACATGTGGGTGAGTAAATTATTTTTTGGGTGGACTCTCCTTTTTATTGCAGTTGGTTAAATTATGCACTTGTTTAGCCTGAAGTTTCTAAACTAGAAGACATGCACTGTATAGTATCAGGTTTCATACAAATATATAGTCATCTTACTCCACTTTCCTCTCCTGCTCTAAGTGGGAGATCAAGTATAACGGTCCACATTGTGTCTGTATTGATTTCAGCTCTGCTAGGGATTTTGAAGACTATTGATGGGAAGTAAACGGTGCCCTGTGTCTCATTCTGATGGTATGAGTATCTCCTCCCTCTCATTTATTAGCGTGTATGTGTGCGTGTGTCACACATTGTCTTTTTCTCAAAATTCGCACTCAATTTTAGTTGCAATTCTTGAAACTTTTGAATTATGGAGGGCCGCTTTGTACAGGTGTCTGGGTCCAAAGGGGCCAAGAAGTGCTGTGGTTGAGCAGAGCTGCTCAGATGGCTGTGTTTACATCAGGCACCAGTTCTGGCAAAGCCTCCAGTCACAGCAAATGGTGCTGTTGGCTAAACATACTGCTGTCAGGAGACTGCCACTGTCAACTTCATCTGGGAGAATTCAACAAGACTGGCTTTCTCAGGGAAGCCAGATTCTTGCAGGGCTGTGTAAATTTCAGTGTTCAGCCTAAAAAAAATTCTTTAGACTGAAGATTTTCAGGAGAGAAAATACAGCAATTTTACCATATTAACAGACTGATCTCATGAAGTAGCGTGTGTATGTCACGCCAATTCGTACTTCCATTTTTGGCGTGCCATCATAACACATAATAGCCTTTCAGCGTGTTTATGAACGCCGTTGACTTAACGTTATATAAATATATGACTTATCTCAACCCCGTCCCTAAACCTAACCGTCACTGGGGTTAATGGCATTTATGACTGTTCCCTTACCATCCTAGGTTAAAAAAAAGATGTGACTTACCTCAACCCCATCCCTAAACTTAACCGTCACTGGGGTTAATGGCATTTATGACTGGAGATTTGACGGCGTGTACAGACACGCGGAATGACGCGGACGTTAATGGCGTAGACATATACGCATACACGCGGATAGCTCAAAATGCGTAGAGATAACACGCCACCTGACTCGAAAGTGGCGTATATGTTTACGCAAAAGTCATGATGTCATGTTGATATTAAACACACCACTGTGAGGCCAGGCAGAGTGTTGCTATGCAGTTAATAAGGGGTACTGAGGGCTTTAAACATGTTGGTATGTAGGTGATCTGTGTGTGTTTATTTGTTTTGTTTTGATTTTTTTGTTGGTGTGTGTGTGTGTGTGTGTGCAGGGTGCTAATGGGTTTTAGGTGGGGTTTTATTGCAAATTGCTATTTGAATGCTTTGAACGTCATGTATTGTGATGTTTCTTTGTGGTTGCTGACCTACTTTTAATAGTGAATGCTTCCAATCATTTAAAGGAATTAAGTGCACCGCAAAAAAGTGTAAAAAAGATGTTAAAAAAATGTACTTCTTTGGTCAAATTATTCTGATAATGGAAAAAATCCAGCAACATCCGTTAAAGAAATAAATAGGGTTAATTTTGATTTCATGTCAACCATAAATATTTTAATCAAAGCGCTCATGTAAATATTAAAATCAGGATCTTGCTGGTTTGAACAACACAAAGTCATTCTGAAAGTAGAGGCTGGGTTTATAGCAAGAAATTATGTGCACCTGGTATTGTAACTTCTGCAAACATCAAATAATTCATGTATAAAAAGGGTTCTGTAAGCTTCTCTTCTGAAGATAACCTCAGGAAAAGCTTGCACAGGATGTCAAAATAGACTGCTGCTATCATGTCTTTGTGCAGATGTGGCAATAGATAAGTATGCAGTTTGGGTCATGGAGGATGATGATGATGATGAACTTCCTGTCAGCTGTGTCATTCGTATCCTCTACTCCCACTTTCCTCTACCTGTCTTGAATCTCTGCTGGGCTTGGACTAGGCAAGTGTGTGTCTGCCTGTTTATTTTTCTTAGAGTAATACGGAACAATATGCATTTTTAATGAAGAGCAGCATGGCTTTTCTTTACACTCTCAGGACAAAGAGTCTCTAATCTTCAAAGTGCTTGTAAATATGTATGTGTATGCATGTGTAAATGCATTCACACAGTCAGGAGTGAACACAAGCTCAAATATGAGTTGTGTCATGTTGAAATACTTTCTCCTTCGATGCACAAAGTCAGCAATAAGTGAGCCATTTGTGGCAGCAGATGTGGCGACGGGACATACGTCTCCGTTCCCTCCCTGAGGGTTACCATATGTAACCGAGACGTTCCCTATCGGTCAGTCACCACAACGTAGGTCACTGAAGGTTGTACTGCACATGAATAATGGGAGACTTAGCTCAAGGGAAAGACACGGACTTCCCGATAGGAGCAGCCGTTGAAAACATACACATATGGGATCCACGTAGGGTCATATATATGGAACCCAGCCCAGATCCGGTTTTCAAGAATTCAGCGGATAAAGGCCTGGCACCGGACGCTCCGCCGTGTCTGGACCAAGGGGTTTTGGAGGACTCAACAGGTTTTACTCTGGAGTAATAAGGTTGCAGAGTAGGGTGCAGCAAGCCAACAGAGCCGGGCCTCTTTCTGCTTCTACCCGTCTAGGGTGAGAACACTGTTGAAGACCGGCTCTACACGTAGGCTATAATATCTAGCGAATGTGTTAGGTGTCGCCCAGCCTGCAGCTTTAAAGATATCTGTTAGCGAGGAGCCTCGTGCCAGCTCCCAGAAGGATGCAATACCTCTCGTGGAGTGTGCATGCAACCTGAGCGGGCAGGGCACGCCTTGTGCTTGGTGGGCCATCCTCAGTAATAGACAAAGAGCTGGTCTGAGGTCCTGACGCTTTGAGTTTTGTCCATGTACATATGCAGAGCGCGAACGGGACAGAACAAAGCCAGGGCTGGGTCTAGATCCTCCATGTGCTTGCAGGTTCACAACCTGTTTTTTGAAGGAGTGGTAGGAACCTCAGGCACATAGCCAGGCAGGTATGTCAGAAGATCCTTCCTCAGAGGAATGGGCCAGGGAGAAACTGTCACAAGGAGCATGAGTTCTGGGAACCAAGTCCGGGTGGGCCAATAGGGAGCCATCAGAAGGACCTGCTCCCTTATCCTCCCAAACTTTGCAAAGTGTCTGCGCAAGTAAGCTCACTGCGGGAAATGCATATTTGCGAAGGCCCCGGGGCCAGCTGTGTGCCAGTACATCCGTGCCGAGTGTCCCCTCAGTCAGGGAGTAAATCAGCTGGCAGTGGGGGGTCTCTTGGGAGGCAAACAGGTCTACCTGAGTCTCCCCGAACTCTCTCCAGATCAGCTGAACCACCTCGGGGTGGCGTCTCCATTCTCCTGGGAGCACAGCTTGTGATAGCTCGTCGGCCCCACGTTTGAGCACACCGGTGACATACATGGCTCAAAGCGATGCTCAGTTTGCTCTTTTCCCAGTTGACCTGAAGACCAGCTGGTCTTCTGGCTGGACAGGGACAGCCCGAAGGGTAGGACTTTGTACTGATATACTCGACCCTCGAACGTAAAATGCAGAAACGGCCTGTGTTGAGGAAGAATCGAGACATGAAAGTACGCGTCCTTCAAGTCGATCTCTGCAAACCAATCTTAGGGACGGATGCATTCGAAAATGCATTTCTGCGTGAGCATTTTGAAAGGTAGCCTGTGGAGGCTCCGATACAAAAGTCGCAGGTCCAAGATTGGTCGTAACCCACCAACTTTCTTGAGTACAATGAAGTAGGGACTGTAGTGTCCTGACCTCATATAGGCTGGAGGGACCGGCTCTATCATGTCCTTCGCCAGTAGGACTGCGATCTCCGCACTCAAGACATGGGCATCAGTGGAACCAGACGATAGGCTTACATGTTACATGTCCCAGCTTGACTGTTAAAAGCAGACGATTGGCTTTCCAGTGGGAGGGGCGGGGCATGTGCAGATGCAGGAGAACGCCCCACGGGCGACGAGCAGACTGAGGAGCCCGCCGCGGTAGAATGTATTTGATAGCCTCTGTCTGCTTTTGTACAGCCGAGAAATGCTGGGTTTCTGAGAAATGCTGATGAATTTCTCGACCGCATCGCCAAAGACATCGGTCTTGGACACACGGGAGTTAAGGAAACGGAGCTTGTCAGTCTCCCTCATGTCGGCTAGACA